GGTCTGGGTGGCAGTGGGTAGCTGGCTCATGCCGTGCCAGGTGCAGGGTCTGTTGGCTGGGTGCTGGCAGGCTTGCAACTGGCACGGGAACTGTAGCCAGACCGTGCCTCTATAAGGGCCAGAAGGGGGGCAGAAAAGTTTCCCTGGTTTGACCCAGAGTGGCCACCAGGGCAGCCTGGGAAGGGCTAGCCTCCAACTAGTTTGAATTAAGTGGCTACACAGCCCTTAATTCGAACTACTTAATTCGAACTAGGCATTACTCCTCGTAGAATGAGGTTTATCTAGTTCGAATTAAGCGCTCCGCTAGTTCGAATTAAATTCAAACTAGCGGTTTGCATGTATAGCTGCTATTAAAGTTAATTCGAACTAACGTCTGTTAGTTTGAATTAACTTTGTAGTGTAGACATACCCTGATTTAGTTGGGGTTGATCCTGCTTAGGGCAGGGGTTTGGAACTGATGAGCTCCTGAGGTCTCTTCCAACCCTATGATTCTAAGTGTGCGTTGCATTGATTTACCTGCTTCATTGTTGTCTGTAAAAAAAAAATAAATCAATTTTCTGACATTTATTGATCAAACAAACTGGGTCAAAATCCATCCAAATTTACCCTCCATTGACTTCAGTATGGTCACATGTTGTGTGGTATTCAGCCCTGAAGATCTACATTTCCAAAGTCATCTGCACCAAATTCACTTGTGTGTGCACACAGACATTTTGTTGCAAATTGAGTAGTCTGATGTAAAGAGCCAAATTCACCCAGCGGTATTTCCATTGAGGTTAGTTGAATCACACAAAAGCTTAATTTAATCCCTCACAAGTTGCTTTTTGAGGTTTTCTTTCAAAGGTTTGCAACATCTGGCCATAAATATCATTTGATATAGCACATACTTATCTGTGAGTTACTTGGACATATTACAAGCTATGAAGAATGGCTTCATGGGCTCGTCTACACTGGCCCCTTTTCCGAAAGGGGCATGTTAATTTCACAGGTCGTAATAGGGAAATCCGCGGGGGATTTAAATATCCCCCGTGGCATTTAAATAAAAATGTCCGCCGCTTTTTTCCGGCTTTTAGAAAAGCCGGAAAAGAGCGTCTACACTGGCCCCGATTCTCCGGAAAAAAAGCCCTACTTCAAAGTAGGAATAAGATCCTCCGGAAAAGGGCTTTTTTTCCGGAGGATCGGGGCCAGTGTAGACGCTCTTTTCCGGTTGAATAGGAATAAGAGCCCTTTGAAGTAGGAATAAGAGATCCTCCGGAAAAGGGCTTTTTTCCGGAGGATCGGGGCCAGTGTAGACGCTCTTTTCCGGCTTTTCTAAAAGCCGGAAAAAAGCGGCGGACATTTTTATTTAAATGCCGCGGGGGATATTTAAATCCCCCGCGGATTTCCCTATTACGACCTGTGAAATTAACATGCCCCTTTCAGAAAAGGGGCCAGTGTAGACGTAGCCCATGTGATTACACACGTTGTGGCAGATCATACAGTGGAATCCATGTTCCTTGCCATGTAACCACTAGACGACATTTTATCCCATCCATAATAGCCTTCAGCAGTGCAGCACATATAATCCAAACACCCTGTCAGTATACCAACATGTTTTAGCCTCAGTCTAAGTCTGTTTTGTTGCAGGTTTAGAGTAAAGTAGCAAACATTTCTATCAGCTTTACTACAACTATTTTACTTGCTTTCAGGTGCACTAAACATGGACACCCCATGGCTATATCTGTATGTAGCTCACAAACTACACCAACCTGAGCAAGCTACTTATTTGTCTACTGTGGAGCTAACAACCGGGAAAGCCCTTTCCATCAAGAACCTGGTGGTGGAAATCTTCTGTAAAGACAAAGACAATGAAAAAGAAGGGAAAATCTATATCTATACACCAACTACTACATACCTGCGGGTTGGTAACACATAGTTTCTTTTCGTATGTAGTGCCCAGCATGGATGGCTATTATAGCGGTAGTTATATAGCAATTCTCAGCACACATGTTGCAATGATCTTTGTGTGTGAATCTACCAGATAGTGTCTTGAAAAGCATGCATTCAGCCTTATCCTGGGCTTGTATAGTGTGCTTTCCATCCTCATTATGGAAGCCTGTTAAACCTCTCTCTCCCCCACCTTTCAGTGCAAGCATAGTCAATGCTTTTTAGCCAGTTCTGAAAAATGAGAAGTGTGCTAGCCGTGCATGCATATACAACACGGCTGTGTCTACACTGAGCCACTTATTCCAGAAAAGCAGCCGCTTTTCCGGAATAAGCTGCGAGCTGTCTACACTGGCCCCTTGAATTTCTGGAAAAGCACTGACAATCTACTGTAAGAAATCAGCTGCTTTTCCGGAAAAACTATGCTGCTCCCTCTCGGGCAAAAGTCCTTTTTCCGGAAAACTGTTCCAGAAAAGGGCCAGTGTAGACAGCACAGTAGTCTTTTTGCAAAAAAGCCCTGATCGCGAAAATGACGATCGGGGCTTTTTTCCGGAAAAGCGCGTCTACATTGGCCACAGATGCTTTTCTGGAAAAAGGGCTTTTCCGGAAAAGCAGCCTGCCAATGTAGATGCTCTTTTCCAGGAAATACTTATAACGGAAAACTGTTCCGTTTTAAGCATTTCCGGAAAAAGGTGCCAGTGTAGACGTAGCCCACATGTCTCCTGAGGGTGACATTTATCTCTTCTTGCACAAAGCACTTTGGGAATGAAGTTCTACCCCGTCACTAATCTAGCCTACGTACCCCCTTTTCTTTAAAGCTTTTGGGCCACTGGATGTGCGACTCTTCTAATACCTGACATGCAGAATAGATTTTAACAAAAGACTCTGTCTACTGATCCTATGACTGATTCTAATCACACTAACACAACTGTGATCTATACAAGTTCTAATGCCATGAACATGACCTCATACTGTCTGGCTATGTCTACACTGGCATGACTTTCCGAAAATGCTTTTAACGGAAAAGTTTTCCGTTAAAAGCATTTTCGGATAAGCGCGTCTAGATTGGCAGGATGCTTTTCCGCAAAAGCACTTTTTGCGGAAAAGCGTCCGTGGCCAATCTAGACGCAGTTTTCCGCAAAAAAGCCCCGATCGCCTTTTTCACAATCGGGGCTTTTTTGCGGAAAACAGTACTATGCTGTCTACACTAGCTCTTTTGCGCAAAAGTCTTTCAGAAAAAGACTTTTGCCCGAATGGGAGCAGCATAGTTTTTCCGGAAAAGCACTGATGATTTTACATGAGATGGTCAGTGTTTTTCCGGAAATTCAAGTGGCCAGTGTAGACGGCGGGCAAGTTTTCCCGCAAAAGCAGATGATTTTGCAGAAAAACTTGCCAGTCTAGACACAGCCTCTGAGTGCCGGTCATTGTGCATGAAACAATAGAACTAACATTTGCCATTAAACACTAAATTTTCCCTGGAGTAACTCTGTGGCTGTGTCTACATTGGCCCCTATTCCGTAATAGGGATGCAAATGTAGCACTTTGGAATAGGCAAATAGGGATTTAAATATCCCCCGCGGCATTTGCATTAACATGGCTGCCGCTTTTTTCCGGCTTGTAGATAAGCTGGAGAAAAGTGCCAGTCTGGACGCGATCCTCCGGAAAATAAGCTCTTTTCCGGAGGATCTCTTATTCCTATTTTCAAGTAGGAATAAGAGATCCTCAAGAAAAGAGCTTATTTTCTGGAGGATCGCATCCAGACTGGCGCTTTTCTCCGGCTTATCTACAAGCCGGAAAAAAGCGGCCGCCATGTTAATGCAAATGCCGCGGGGGATATTTAAATCCCCCGTGGATTTGCCTATTCCAAAGTGCTACATTTGCATCCCTATTACGGAATAGGGGCCAATGTAGACACAGCCTGTATGTTTTGCTATTATTTGGGTTTCCCTATGCAAATGAGATCAGAATAGGATTCTTCAGCTTGAAGGGTCAGGTCCATTTATAGCATACATTGTTCAGAATTAAAACGATTGGTCAGTGTTTCACAAAAAACAGCCTTCATCTAAAAAGTCTTTCGTGATGTGACAAACTCCATGGAGGTTAGGTCCATCAATGGCTATTAGCCAGGATAGGTAGGAATGGTGTCCCTAGCCTCTGTTTGTCTGGAATTGGATGACAGGGAGGGATCATGTGAGGATTACCTGCTATGTTCCTTCCATCTGGGGAATCCGGTATTGGCCACTGTCAGAAGACAGTATATTGGGATAGATGGACCTTTGGTCTGACTTAGTATGGCCATTTTCTTATGTTCAATACTTTAGGGTAGTCCTTTGAGTCTCACCCTTTCCCCATTAGATCTCTGTTGGTCTAGTTCCAGTTGAAGGCTGTTGCAAAGAAAGAATTGGTTTACTTGTTAATTTCTTTGAAGATGTCCAGCCATCTATCCCTCCCTTGTCTGGGGGGAACGTAAAATAAACAGAACAAAAATAAATAGCGAATTCCTCGTGAGAACTGTAATACCCTGAAGTGAGATTATTGTTTTTACAATGAAAATGCTCACAATTTATCTCTAGTAGGTGCTGTTTATAATGCTGTGCTGCAGAGAGAAAAGGATTTTACCTACTGTAACTCAATAAGGCCAAAATATTTCTTTATCTTTCAGGCATCCACAGTCAATCACCTTGAGAGAAATGTTCTGCATAGCTACAATGAAGTGGTATCTGTATGGAATCAGCTTGTGAGAAATCAGGTTCATTTGGAGAATAGCAAGCAAGCCAAATTTTTCTGCTTTAAGATAAAGACTCTGAAGCAGGAGTTTAATTTGACAGCTGATTATTTACACCTGCAGGGGGTAAGATGATTGTAGAAATATTAAACTTTTCTGGATTTGGGACTATATCTCTCAAGTATTCCCTGATGAGGAGCGTCATTCCTTTATTAGACTCCAATCATGCACACCTGTAGCTAGTTATTTTATCCCTTTACATTACTGGCATGAAGCAGGCAACTTAATGCAGGTTTAAGAAATCTGTCATCACTAGATTTCTCCTCCATTTTTATAGTGTACTTCAGTTTGTGCCCTTCTCTGTTCTCTTGGGGTATGTCTAACCTGTATGGTTATTTCAGGATACTGGAAGTATCTCGAAATAGCTACCCTGCATATTAACAAGTTGCCTGTTATTTTTCAAAATTACAGATGTGCTGTTTTGGCATCCCTGTAACCTTTGTTCCATGAGGGTTAAGGGATGTCTTGAAATAGGGTGTTATTTTGAAATTTTGATGTGCCAAATTTTGAAATATGCTATTTTTACATTCAGTCGAAATAAGATATGCAATTTGCATAGTGCAAATTGAGTACCTTATTTTGAGTTTAAGGTTCTGTGAAGGTGCACCCTTAAAAGCCAGTGGCACACATTAAGTGCTGAGGGATGGTGTGTTCCTGGGTAAATTACAGAAAATAGGAAACCTAAATACTGAAGCTTTGATGTGGGTGAAACATGGAAGGGGAAACTTTAAGTTGACCTAAAAAGGAAAATTTCAAAATTTGCTGTGAATCAAAAAACAGAATTCATTTTGGGTCAAATAGAAGATTGTTTTGATTTTGATCTTTTTTCTTTTTAAATTTAAAAATAAAATTAAAGGTAATTTCAAGAAGAAGTGATTTAAAATTGAAAATTTTAGTTTCAAAAATATTACTTAAAACAAAATGTTTTGAGGTTTTTTTAGAATTTTAAGTCTTGGATTTTTTACTGTTAATGCTTTGTGGAAATTAACATTAATTCACAAAAATGTTTTCTTTGACTCAAATCTGCATTTTTCACAAATGAAAATGGATGAAAAATTTCACCCAGCTCTAGCAACAAGTAACTCATTTTATGCACACCACTTACTCACACCGCAGTGTGCCTAATATCAGAAACTAGCCTTTAAATGTACAAATAATGTTTGGAGTCTATAGCACATGACAGATAATCAACAGCCTACCTTCTAAAAAGATTCCTTGGTCAGCCCTGTTCTATTCATGGTACTCAGATGCTTCCTACATCAAACCAGCTTAACTGAAAAGTGAAACTGACCTTAAAATACAATAATTTAATTTATCCATTCTAAAACATGAGCATTGTATCCCTGAAAAAATACAATTTCATCTCTCATCCTGTAATTTGCATATGTACTTCATGTTTGCATTTCTGCAAAGGTAACTCCTTTTGCCCTTCTGATAAAAGAACATGCTTTAATCTGTTGCAGCATGATGACTCTTTTAAATGGAAACTTACGCAGCACTGTATATTCTGCAAGTATGATGCATTCAAGTTTTAAGACTAATACACAGTAGGCAGTAAATTCAGAGTTTTCTTGCTTGTTTTGCGTTTACAAGACATAGCATTCTAAATATATTTGGTATCGTAGGCCCAATCTTGTGAAGAGTGAACTTAGTTGGAATCAATGCTGCTCAGCATCTTGCAGGATGGATACTTATTGTTTCCAGTATTAATATGATATAAAAGAACCATGTTCAAATTTACTTTGATGTTTTAAAATCATACATAGAAATATTTGTGCTCCAGAACAATCTTTGGTTACTTTGTTGTACAGTGGTAAGTATTGTAGAAGTTACCTCTCATTTTTGCCCAGTGTTTTGCTGCATAAATTTGCTGAGCATCTCCATTGAAAAACTGTAACAGCCATGGGGTAATTTAAGGTCTGAAATTGGTTAAGATCTTAACATCACTTAAACTGGTGTAAATTGGGAGTAGCTCCAATGAAGTCTTTAGAATTTACCAATGTTTATATAAGGTCAGAACTGGGCCATTGTAGGCTTTGTGGTTGGCTTTATGTGGAGCAGCAATGGGCTTGTTCAGTAAAACAACAACCTCATTTCAGCCTGGTTTACTATGTGGTTTGTGATTGGCCCTCTCTACACACTGAATCTAAAAAATCTGACTAAATTCTTCTCTCTCAATGTTACCTTGATGATCCTGCTACATTGACTGAAGCCTAAACGGAGTAATGTCTCTGTGAGGGCCCAATGGACGGACCACAAGAGTCTGCCAGTAGTGTTGCTGCTGGAGGGTCAGATAGAAGAGCTGAAGAAAGATAAAATGCTCTACCAGAAACGTGGAACTATCCATTTCAGGTGTAGTGACTTTTTTCATATCTCCACCTTGCATTTTAATGTGAGTTTTAGAGCTCCTGTGCTTGGCAAGACAAAAGTCCCCATCTGTCTATATGCCTAGACAACGTGGACACACACAGACTATGTCTGGAGACTGAGGCTTTGCCTACACTTATCCCATCTTTTAGCAATACGTCCATGTTACGAAAAGTCTGGCAGTGTAAATGCTGTTTGTCGGAGGGGAGAGGGACCCCTAGAATCTGTCCCTTGATATGTAACTACTGAAATGTAATTTCAGGGATCCTACAGAAATTCAGGACTCAATTCAATGAGATGTCGACCCATCTCCAGAGAGGTATTGAGCATTCTCAATATCTAGGGAGGCCAGGAGGAGATATAAGTACTAGGATTGCTTAGGAGCTGCTGAAAGGTTGTGTAAGAGGTAGTTTAAGTAATGGAAAAAATAGATGATTGAAAAAAGAGGAAAGATGTCAGATGTCCAACTGTGCATGAACTCAGTCCAGTGTGGCATTATAAATATGAATATCTCTTTCAGCTGAGCTAATTAAAGTCAAAGTTGCCTATACAAAGATGCACCCATGTAATAAGTGCTACAGAAGGGTATAAATTAGCTGACCATCTGTTCCCAGGACAACTAAATTAGTTCAGTGTAAATTATATTGTTTCTCCAGAATAAAAAAAAAATGTACTTGCTAGCTGAAATTTTCAAAGTTGCCTAAAGAATAGCGGGTACCTTTTCATTAGAAATTAATGGGAATTGTGCAGCCATATCTTTCTGGAGGCTTTGTCTATAGGATACACGAAGTCCCTGTGAGAGTGATACATGAGGCATTGCTTTAGGTGCTCTGTACCTGTCCTGCATACACCATAGAATGCAACATCATGTCAGTGACTTCACATGCTGAAAGATGTTGGATATGGCATGTGGTCTAGAGTAGGAATTTTCCATCAGAAATGCTGGCTAGTTTGTAGCTCTGTTTTATGTACTATTTATTCTTTGTATTCCCATACACCAAAGGAGCCCTGGTCACAGATCAGGAGCTCATTGTGCTACATTCTGAACAAATACAAACTAAAAAGAGAGCGTTCCTGCCCCCAGAGGTAACATTCTGAACTAGAGTGAAACTCTAACCATGTGTGGCATTCTACCACTAACCATGCATGGCATTCTATCACATGTATACAGGTACCATTCTCACACATTTCTTTTCCTTTCTTGCTCCTTCCTCTATCCCTGTAATTGTCCAACCTTCCATGTAGGCTTGCTTTGATTAAGTAATTGACACTAGAGATGTTTGCAATTGAAGTCTAGAAGTATGAGCTGAAGATGAAAACTGTGTGTGGGGGGAGGGTTTCCTCTGTGATTTTTCCTTACGATCTTTATTTCTTTATTTTATCCCAGACATCCATTTAAACTGCCCATTCCTCAGAGCTTCCTTCTCCAGGAGACATTTACTGTAGACAAAAAGCAAAGCCACTACTTCTTGGAGACTAAAATTTTGATAAATGGGCTGGATGAATCAGTTCAAACCTTTACACTTGGCTATCAAGCTGAACATCCCTATGTGAGTGAACCTGATGTAACAATTTGCCTGTAAGTTCAGAAAGTGACAGCCAGAAAATAAACAGACTACTCTATATAACTCACAAGTCTGGCTTTTCTCATTTTTTTAGATTTGTGCTGGCTTAGCTCATCCTTATAACAGCAAGATTTTCCCCCAAAACATAGAAATATGTGCCTTAACCCGAAATCACCAAAGTGTAAGTAAACTTCACATTGGGGTTAATTCATAAAGAAGGCTCCATTATATGTCAGTAACACAGCAATTTGAAGTCTATCAATTTACTTAGAAGTTTGATTGGTTTAGGTGGGGAAACTGAAGTACCAAGTGAATTACTTTGGGATGGGTCTCCTTTGTGTTACTGGAAACATTTGCAAACATTTGTGCAAATAGATGTTAAGTATTATTATGAGTGCACTTTGGGAAGGTGGAAGTTCTACATTCAAATCCTGGCCTTGGGCAAGTCATTTCACCTTCATTACCAATATTAGTTTTCTTTTCTTACACTGCTCGGCAAGTTCCTTCTGAGTCCTAAGCAATAGCTCCATACTAAATGGACAGCTCTCCCATTTTAGAATAGTCTACTTGATTTGCTCATTCTAACAACTCAAATCTCAACACACAGGCAAAGCATGAGGTTGAAGCTGTTCTGAAAGTCAATAAGAAAGATGCCCTCAGGCTTCTGGGCAAGTACCAGAACAAATCCAGTGAGACGGATTTCAGACATCTCTTACACATGGACATGGCTCACTCCTTCCAGGTATTTGCGCTGACATTGACTGACTTACTAAGAGCAATTATTTCCTTCTCCCTGCCCCCAAAATATAATTTCCCCTTTCTTTACGTGTCTTCCTTTTGGCCATTAAATTATCACTCAGTGCCATTGCTTTTCTTTACCATTCCTTTGGGTTGGAGAGTTCTAGTTAATGTTAATTTTTTCTTTGTTTACGTAGCACATAACACAGTGGGATTCTGGTCCATGATTGGGGCTCTTAGGTTCTACCACAATATAGATAATTAATAATAATAATAATAATAATAATAATAATAAATACTTTTTCTGGGGGGAGCTAAAATATACTATCCATTTGTTTTTTCATTGTGATAATTAAGAGGTTTATTGAAACTGGTAAGGGGTCATTGTATATATTGAATAAAACATTTGTCTACACCAGTGTTTCCCAAATGGTGTTCTGCAGAACCCTGGGGTTCCACGAAATGAAAATAAGGGTTCCCTGAGAATATGCCATTAAATAATATTTTATGATTTTAAAAAAATAATATTATGTGATTTTTGTTTTTAATTATGTGCAATTAAACTAAATGTTGATCTCATGACCTTGTTTAGCATTTGTTTATTATTATCCTTACTTATTTGTGGTCTATTTTTTCAGCTCCATATATTAGTCTGTTATTAGGGATTCTGCAAATTTCTTTTGAATTTAAAAGGATTCCGTGGCCAAATAAAATTGGGAAACACTGGTTTACACACACAGCTCATGTACTTCGCAGTAAAAGTAAGACTAGAAAATGATGAAAGTGAACTTGTATAAAAGTAGCCATTATGTAAACATTGTGTCTTACTAAACAGCTCAAGTTTCCACAAGCACTGGCCCTGGGTGGAGAGCTATTTTCTACACAAACCAAACTGGGAGTCTTTGATTATGGTCTGAATACGAAAGTCACAATCAACAGAAATGATTCTTTACAGGTCAGGTTACTAGTTCTTGAGATTCCACAGCATGAGCTGGAGTTATTGTGGTATGCCTTCATATTGTTAATGTTCTAGGCTCCTATTCAGTAATTCATTCCTGCAAAGGGCACACATAAAACCAGTGTGTTGCTTCAGACCTATTTTGAATGGTGCATAGGTCTTGTGTTGGCTTTTTCCATAGGAGTGAATTTAACTTACTGTAAAGCTTACATGGTCTGGTTTAACACTATAAATTCTTGGAGAATGGCTTTTAGGGAGGGGAGTACAGGTTTTGGAAGACCATGCAATTCTCAGAGAATTAGATGAGTCTTATGTAGAGGGAGAAATCCAGAGCAGTTAGCTGGGTTCTGAGTTTGATTGTGGCTTGACTCCTTTGCACAGTTGGAATTCGTTTTTATTTCAGAGATCGCAAACTTTCAAAAGTTTACAGAAAGTTCTTCATTATGAGGAATTTCTCCTCAAATAAAATACCTCTGTTACTGAAACTATAGAAACCTTCCAATTGTTTAACAACATTCTAAACATAAAATGCTCCCAGAAAAGATTTGCTAGTTGAAAGTATCAGTGCCAGAAAGTGGATATTTTCTTCAGAACTAGAAATAGAGCCACATTAAAAACTGTGTTGTTCTAGCCATGTATTCCCCAGATATTAGTGAGATAAGGTCCATGAGGAAATATCCTTTATTGGACCAAATTCCGTTGGTGAAAGAGACAAGTTTTCAAGCCACCCAGAGCTCTTCAGAGCCTGAGCTCCAGCCTGAGATGCATCTTCCAAGTGCTGTCTATGCAGCTAAGTCTAGTGCAAGCCCTTCTCACCTGAGTCTCTTGACCTGGGCTGGGAGGTTCCCTGCCCCTGCATGTACGTCTTCACTGCACAGTATTCTCGGGTGATCACTGCAAGCTCTACCCAATTTACTGTGTCCAAATGAAATCAGCAACCATGTTTTGGCCTAATGCCCATGTTAGTTGACCTACTGGGGGTAAAAGCATCAAACCTAGGTTTTGTGTGGCTAGGAAGGGATTACAGCCAACCTCAGAGTAGGAGCTTGATTTAACTCTACAGTGTAGACATGCCCCTAAATAGGTGTTGAAAGCTGTGTGTGTACTCATGTACTGGGAGCAGCATTTTGCTAAAATTCAGAACATTTTGAAGTAAATTATCCTGAAACTCAAATTAAATTGTGCTGGAATTTCACCATAATTCTTGATTTCAGCAGTGTGACTCTTCTTGTGTCAACAGTTTACTGCTCAGCTAAATGGATCAAACACTCACTTCGGATTTTCTTCCCAGTTTACTCATCCATATCAAACAAAATTCCCCCAAGACTTTCAGGTACAGACTACATTTAATTGAAACTGTAATTGGAGTATGCTTTCTCTTTCTCTCTCTATTTTCATTCTCCTTCTTTGACTACTTTTCAGTTGTATTATTAGTTAAGCAAATGAAACACAAAACCCACGTGGTGACATTTAGTCACTGGAGTCAGCTGTAGAATGTCCAATATCAATCACTCCATATCCAGGACATTTGAATCAGTAGCTCACACCCTACCTCATCTATATTGAGATTGGTTGTGCAGTTTACTAGAAGTATTTTGACCATCTGAGTTAAAGTCACAGTTTGTAGCCTTTGTCTCGCATACGACCAGGCACCATTTAACCTCATGGTCAGAATCTTGACGTCAGTTTGCTCTGGAATTAGTGCTGATTGCATCCTTTTTACACTGTTCTGTCAGCAGGATCTGGGTGCAGCTTACCTTGGCATGAGTGAGACTGGCTGCAGCACAGGGTCTTTGAGGGGTGATGCACAATGGAAGGGGGAGGCTTTCTTTACTGGTTTCTCAAGAAAGGCAGTTTTAGTCACCACAGTCAAGGATGGTATTTTCTCTTCCTCCGATTCCGCACTCCAAACATAGTGAGATATGGCTAACCCCTTGCATCTGGTCTGATCAGAGTAGGGCCACATGGCAGTTCTAAAGCAGTGCTTATCTTTCCAAAAGCTCATCACCTAATAAACCATCTTGTTAGTCTTTAAAGTGCTCTAAAGTCCTGTATTTTACTTCAGCTACACCAGACTAACATGGCTACATTTCTATTACTATCTTTCCAAAAGGCACTCATGACTTATACTGAAAAAGTTTTTCCTTAAAGCAATTAATATGCTAGTATTTTATATATATATATTTTATATAT